GAGACCCCTGCACCTGGCTTGGATTTATCAGAGGTTTTCTTCTGATCTTGAATTTTGTCCCAACCTGGCTTTTCCCAGTTTTTAAAACCAGGGAATCCTCATATGAGCAGATAAGAGCAGGATATCTGCAGTGCCTCTGCTGGGGAAGGTGACTTTAGGGCTGCCTTGTACCCACTTGAGCTGGAGTTTTTTAATACATGATGGTGCTGGGCTGATGGTTGGGCTTGGTGTTCTTAAAAGTCACCAAATCACATTAACCATTCCCTGATTCTACGAAAATGTAGAATAAAAGAGTGTGAAGAAATTCTTCATTTTGCTCTAAAGAGGACATTGAAATTAGTTTGCTCCATTTTATCCAAAATGTAGAATAAAAGAGTGCGAAGAAATTCTTCATTTTGCTCTAAAGAAATTAGTTTGCTCCATTTTATCTGGTGTTTATGGTCAACTGGAATGGTCAAATCAAGAAATAAATCTTAGACAAACATGACATTTTAGAAAGTCTTTCTCAGTTTATGGTAATGAACACACCCTTTCTTCAGCCAGTTTGTGTTTTGCCATTGTGTTCCTTGCTGGCACAAGCCAGTGTTCTTTCAGAGGACACAGATCAAATAAAGATGTTTTCAGCCCGTGTCTGACTTTGCCCAGCACATGAGCTGAATTACAGGCCCGTGGTTGTTTGTGAGTGCAGCATCTTCACTCTGGTCAGTTGTTTCCCACCAGGAAATGTGGGGCTGAACCAAGAGCTGGACACACATCCCAGCTGAGCACATCCCTTGTTTTTCAGGAGTTAGAACAAAGGAGCAGCCAAAAATGTGATCCAGTGTGGCTGTTCCCACCCGTGTGTCCGGGATCAGGCAGAGCACCCTGGTAAAACCCTTGCTGGAGTGTCCCAGGTGGCTCCTGCCTGCTGCTCTGCTGCTCCCCTCCTCAGCCCCTCTGCAGGAAGCTTTCCTGCCCCTGAGCCCACAGTGCCAGCTGAGGGGCTGTGGTCACTGGGCTGCAGGGCCCTCTGGGGGCTGGGGGTGCCCTGGGGGTGCTCTTGGGGTGCCCTGGGGCTCCTCCCAGCTTTGTGCCAGCACCATGGAGCTGTGCAAGGGGTGCCTCTGGCTCACGGCCAGAAACACCTCCTGTGCCTGCACCAGGGAGCCTTCCTCAAACTCTTTGCTGCACACAGAGTGCACTGCAGGTTATTTCTTTCTCATCCAAAGAAACAGAATGGAGTAATTATTAACTTCATTGTTCTGTCACAGCAGAAACATCAGATGGAAAATGCAGCGTGGTAAGCCTGGAGCTGTAACTTGGTCGAGGAGTTAGGATTCAGTGCAAATCCAAGTGACACATTAAATGCCTTTCAGTTCTGAAGAAAATGCCAAGTCGACAGTAAAATCCACAGCAACAGGTTGCAGTAATGTATAAACCATAACTCACATCCTCTGTGAGCTGCCATTTCTCAAATGATAAACCCTGGGTATTTATGGTGTACGATGAGCTGGCTTCCCTTCCAGAATAATCATCACGGGATGGGGAGCAATGGGTGCAGTCTTTATGAGGAACCTGAAACCTGAGCTGGGCAGCTTTGGTGTCTGGGCTGTCCTGGGGGGCTCAGCTTTGGTGTCTGGGCTGTCCTGGGGGGCTCAGCTTTGGTGTCTGGGCTGTCCTGGGGGGCTCAGCTTTGGTGTCTGGGCTGTACTGGGGGCTCAGCTTTGGTGTCTGGGCTGTCCCTGGGGGCTCAGCTTTGGTGTCTGGGCTGTACTGGGGGCTCAGCTTTGGTGTCTGGGCTGTCCTGGGGGGATCAGCTTTGGTGGCTGGGCTGTCCCTGGGGGCTCAGCTTTGGTGTCTGGGCTGTCCCTGGGGGCTCAGCTTTGGTGTCTGGGCTGTCCCTGGGGGATCAGCTTTGGTGTCTGGGCTGTCCTGGGGGCTCAGCTTTGGTGGCTGGGCTGTCCTGGGGGGCTCAGCTTTGGTGGCTGGGCCGTCCTGGGGGGCTCAGCTCTGGTGGCTGAGCTGTCCTGGGGGGCTCAGCTTTGGTGGCTGGGCTGTCCTGGGGGGATCAGTGCCCGTTCAGCTCAGGGGAAGGACGTGGCTGCGGAGCTGCTCTGGTCTGCTGGGACCAGTGTCTGTGGGACACTGGGCTCTGTGTTCAGCTGCTGCATCCCTGGGCTGTGTCCCGGGCTGTATTTTGGGCTGTATTTGCTGTATTTTGGGCTGTATTTGCTGTATTTTGGGCTGTATTTGCTGTATTTTGGGCTGTATTTGCTGTATTTTGGGCTGTATTTGCTGTATTTTGGGCTGTATTTGCTGTATTTTGGGCTGTATTTGCTGTATTTTGGGCTGTATTTGCTGGGGGGATTAGTTTTGGGGTCTGGGCTGTCCTGGGGGCTCAGCTTTGGTGGCTGGGCTGTCCTGGGGGGCTCAGCTTTGGTGTCTGGGCTGTCCTGGGGGGATCAGTGCCCGTTCAGCTCAGGGGAAGGACGTGGCTGCGGAGCTGCTCTGGTCTGCTGGGACCAGTGTCTGTGGGACACTGGGCTCTGTGTTCAGCTGCTGCATCCCTGGGCTGTGTCCCGGGCTGTATTTTGGGCTGTATTTGCTGTATTTTGGGCTGTATTTGCTGTATTTTGGGCTGTATCCCGGGCTGTATCCCGGGCTGTACCCTGGCTCCCACTGCTGCTCCTCTCCTCGCAGCCCCTCCAGCCCTGCAGGGATCCCAGGAGCTGCCCTGGCGAGCGAGGTCTCAGGAGATGGGGCCATGCTGTGGCAGCTCTGGAGGAATCTGCCATCCCTCAGCTGCCAGGAACTGGAGCTGTACAAGGGCCAAGCCCTCCTGGTTATCGCGGCTGCTCCGGGACCCCGGTGGGGACTGGCCTGGCTCACGGAATCTCGGCACCGTGCTCTGTTCCACCATCACACTGCTGCTGGTGTTTGCAGGGATCTCAGCACTCAGCTGAGTGATGCCTCTCTCTGCCAGCAGAAATCAGGTGTACACCCAGAGCCCTAGGGAGCAGCATGTGGAATTAATTATTTAGTAGCTTAATACATGGATTTTTTTCAGGTCTTCGGTTGCATAGTTATCAAATAAATCAGCCTTTATTTTCAGGATGGAAATGTGAGCAGAAGTAATGCCTAGCAATTTTTAAGGGAGCTTTCAAATGCTAAGATTAGTGTGACTAATAAAATACATTTCATTAAACAAATTTTCCACACATAAACCTATTTTGTGAATGCAATAATCTGATATTCTCATATGTTAGTCTACAGATCACAAGAGAGTATGGGAAAGTAGCAAAATAATTCAAGGCTTATAAACTTGGCTTTTGATTTGCTAGTAAATCATGGTTTTCTCTTAAAGGAAAAAAGATCAATTGAAAGAAATATGATTTAAAAATTAATACCAGTATTACAAAGCCATAAAGATTTTATTACTTGGAGCATTCCCTTTGTGAAGATGAGTTGGTCTGTCCTTCCAATCTCCTCTAAAGCAGTGTAGGCTGCAGTTATTTATAGGGATCACATAGAATTTGTAAAACAAAACATTTCTTTGCCAGCCTCCTGCATGTGGGTTCAGATTCCCAGAGGTTACAAGTACAGCAACAAAGACAGAAATGTGACATTCCAGTATTTGATCTCTGGCTACTGATGCAGTGATGAAGATTGGGATGTGCTCTAAACATATTGGGTGTTTTAACACTAAAAATGGCCAATTTGCTTTGCAAAGGGAGGGGAGGTCAGTGAGGTTCTGACAGCTCCTGCACTAAAAGGATTTTTCCCCTTAAAATCTCTTCTCTCACAGAAAGCCTGGCAGCCCTGCTGCCTTACCCTGTTCCTCCTCCTGATTTTGGCCCTAACTCCCCTGAAGCACTGGATCCATTTAAAGCATTTGAAGGGATTCCCAGCTTCCAGCAGTTAATGGCAGCGAAGTGCCAGAGGCTGCCCCAAAGGCTGCCCTGAGACCAACCTGTCTGAGCACCTCAGTGAGCTGGAGGCTAAAAAGGAATCTCATTTCTGAGCCCAGCTGCCCATCCAAGTGTAACTCTGAGTGTCTCAGTGCCCCAGCACAGAGGGGGAAAACATAAACCAAGATCACGTAGCGGGGCACACAAACAGAAATGAGGGAATTGTTGTTCTTGTGGATTGTTCTTCAGCAGCAAAGCAGTAGCTGCGTTTTGCCACAGATCATTCTGAGAGTTTTCTTAAGCCTTGTGTCCTCTCCTTGTTTTTATAATTTGAAACTGTCCCTCTGCTTTTTTTTTTGTTTTGGGCTGTTGGACTGAGGTCTATTGTAGAATTGATGTCTGCAGTTCATTCCTCAGCTCCCAACAGAAGATGTGCTGTTTAAAATAATGTCTATACTGTTACTGTGTTCTTTGCTGCAGTTACAACTTTGATCTCCCCTAGGTCCAGCTGTGGACGTGCAGGGCAGCACTCACTGGGGAGCCTTACCCAAACTGCTGTGAGCAGCAGGGACTCGCTGCCCTTGCTTGTGGCAACTGGGCCTGGAAGGATCCCAATCCCTGAAGGTCAGATGGTCTTGTCAGGAATACATGATTCCTGCTGGAAATTATTTCCATGAGATCAGATGGATAGATATAATTAGCAGAACCAAGCCAGATAGGATTCTTACAGCAACAGCTGTGCAGCCAACAAAGTTATTGTATCAGAGATTTTTTTCCCCAATAAGTATTTTACACAGAGTCATATTTCTTTTCACAACAAATTGGATCTTATCCCAAAAGGATTTGCTTTATGGCAAAGCAGTTTTCACCCTTGTCTCCCTCCCTCTTCAAGAAATGCACCCCTCTTTAGTCAGACTGCTCTGGAACAGAGGTGCAGTTGGAGGAGCAGGCAGAGTAACCTTGAGCCCCTGAGTTCCTGCCTTTTTAGACAATTGAATGCTTATAGCCAGCCCCTGGCACCAGTGAGCCAGGCAGCTGCAGCACATTCCAAATATTGCTCTATTTAAAGCATCCCAGGGCTCTCAGAGCAACTGCAGAGGCAAACCTTAACCTGCCATTAAACTAGCAGAGGGGGAATGGCAGAACCAGGTAAGAGGCACAATTACATGGAATGTAATAATATACTGAAATTAATAGATCTGAGCAATGCAGTGTGAATACACCCCGCTGCCTGTATTCTTGTCTGATACACTGTATATATATTTTGCTTTTCAGTAAGAAAGTGTAATCTCTTTAAAAGCTAATTCTATTAACAGCTTGGGTTCCTCCTTTATTTTTGAATCCTACCAGTTTTGTTTTCTTTATGTTTTGTAGTTGTCATTCCAGGTTAGCTGACACAACAGGACAGTGTGTAAAATGAGTTGTATTTGGCAGCATTTTTGTTGTACTGTGTGGAGCTGAGCTCCAAGTGTAGTGCCAAGTGAACACGGAATAATTTAGATTTTAACTCCACAAAGCTCAAGTGGCAGAGCAAAATGAAATTTTAATAATGACCTTTCCATTGTAAGCACACTTTACTTTCTCCAAGGAGAAAAGGCAGTTTATAGAAATGCATTTTATATGTATTGTAAATTTTTATTTATTTCACTTAAATTTACAACTGTAGCTGTGGTGTGTGCTGTGTGCACAGTTACTCAGGTAACACTTGTGAAGGGAGGTTTTAATACATCTTCATAGCTACATTCAGAGTTTTTAAAGACTTTTCTCTTTTTTTTTTTTTTTTCACCAATGACTCTGGCATCTAGGGAGAGTGAATTTCTGCTAAGGTACAAAAGGACACTGAATACTATTTATTTGAGTTTTCATTGATAGCCCCAGAAATTGCCCTGATACTGGTTTATATTGGAGCTCCCCTAACAAAACCCCCCAGCCAGCAGCATCAGCAGAGCTCTGACAAACCCCTCTGTGGCCCCCAGCAGGATCCAGCCCTGCCTTTGTGGTTAGACCTTCAGAGAAAGTGCAGGGGAAGCATCCCAGCAGCTTCACCTGGTGTCACAGCAGTGAATGTCTCAAATGAAACAGCTGGGGCTCCCCTGGGCCAAAAGGACACCCGGCTTCAGGGCAGGATCTTGTAATGTCTCTGTGTGTTTAATATTTCCACGGCAGCACATGCAGATCTGTCCCTCTGGCAGGCACACTGTGCAGTGTCTTGGTGAGACAGGTGTGCTGTGCAGAGCTTTAGAAGAACAGTGTGGCAATCCTTAAATTAGTGAGCATCCCTGAGTCTGCCTGCTTGATCCGAACTGTGCAAGGTGTTGTGGACAGTTTTAGATCATTTATTAATCCCTTCAGAACCCTGTAATTCTATTAACTGTGTAAAGATGTGCTGCAAGAGGTTGCAGCACGTTGGTAAGTAAGAGGATCTCAAAGGTTGTTATTCTGCTTTCTGGCAAGGGTGTGCTGCTTACACACACCGACAGAAGGGTCCTGAAATTCTGCTCCTGTGTGGAGATGGAAAGCCAGTGCTGCTGCTCCGCAGAGAACCCGACCTGCCCTGGGCTCCTCTGAGGGCTCTGCTCCTGCTGGGCAGCTGGGCCGTGCCCAGACCCTCGGCCGTGCCACCGCCAGGCCTGGCCTTGGTGGCATTGGCTCAGCGAGGTCCCCCCGGTGTCACTGACCCTGTGTTCTGTGCCAGCCCAGGCCCCGCTGTCCCGCCTGCTCGTCCCCGTGCTGCTGGCACTGGGCTGGATCGTGGGCTGCGCCCTCATGGTGTACATTGTCTTCTCCTGACCACGGAGGGATGGCAGTGCCACACGGCGCCCTGCGGTAAGTGACGGTGACAGCAGTGTCACACAGAGCCCTGCAGTGATGGCAGTGTCACACAGCCCTGCAGGGATGGCAGTGTCACACAGCCCTGCAGGGATGGCAGTGTCACACAGCCCTGCAGGGATGGCAGTGTCACACAGCCCTGCAGGGATGGCAGTGTCACACAGCCCTGCAGGGATGGCAGTGTCACACAGCCCTGCAGGGATGGCAGTGTCACACAGCCCTGCAGGGATGGCAGTGTCACACAGCCCTGCAGGGATGGCAGTGTCACACAGCCCTGCAGGGATGGCAGTGTCACACAGCCCTGCAGGGATGGCAGTGTCACACAGCCCTGCAGGGATGGCAGTGTCACACAGCCCTGCAGGGATGGCAGTGTCACACAGCCCTGCAGGGATGGCAGTGTCACACAGCCCTGCAGGGATGGCAGTGTCACACAGCCCTGCAGGGATGGCAGTGTCACACAGCCCTGCAGGGATGGCAGTGTCACACAGCCCTGCAGGGATGGCAGTGTCACACAGCCCTGCAGGGATGGCAGTGTCACACAGCCCTGCAGGGATGGCAGTGTCACACAGCCCTGCAGGGATGGCAGTGTCACACAGCCCTGCAGGGATGGCAGTGTCACACAGCCCTGCAGGGATGGCAGTGTCACACAGCCCTGCAGGGATGGCAGTGTCACACAGCCCTGCAGGGATGGCAGTGTCACACAGCCCTGCAGGGATGGCAGTGTCACACAGCCCTGCAGGGATGGCAGTGTCACACAGCCCTGCAGGGATGGCAGTGTCACACAGCCCTGCAGGGATGGCAGTGTCACACAGCCCTGCAGGGATGGCAGTGTCACACAGCCCTGCAGGGATGGCAGTGTCACACAGCCCTGCAGGGATGGCAGTGTCACACAGCCCTGCAGGGATGGCAGTGTCACACAGCCCTGCAGGGATGGCAGTGTCACACAGCCCTGCAGGGATGGCAGTGTCACACAGCCCTGCAGGGATGGCAGTGTCACACAGCCCCGCAGTGAGAGCAGTGTCACACACACAGAGCCCTGTGCTACTTGGCACTGCCACCCTTTCAAATGCTATTTTCTGTCTTACAGGAGAGAAGAACCTGCAATGACGTTGACGGGAAGAACACAGAAGTCCAGTTTAGATTTCTAATGACTAAAATACATATAAAATGAGTTATTTTTAATATCAACTATGTAAATGTCATGCACAGTTTTTATCCATTAGGAAGAATCACCAAACCAATTTCTCCATTCTCAGATTATTTGCAATTTAGGGAGTGGTTTTTGGAATCTTGTGGTAGGTCAGATCCTGCCTGCTTGCTGAACTTTTAAAACAGCTACTAGCAGCAAAGGAATTTCAAGCTTGGTAGAAAGAGGCAAGGGTTAATTTCTCATGGGGCCTGGGCACGTATTTTTAGCCTTATTATAGGGAAAACCTCTTGGACTCTATTGTTATGAAACAGAAACATTGCATGTCCTTGGAAAAGAAAACCCCAGGCCTGCTCAGGGCTGGGAGGGTTGTACAGCTGAGTGTGCCTGAACCTCACCAGGGGCCCTCAGTGTCTTGTACTGGGGGTTTGCCTTTTTAATTAGAATTGGAGATAATTATATTCCCCCAGTCAATAATAAGCCATGTGAACTTCCAGTGACTTTGCCATTTAAATCACAACTGAGCATCAGATCACTGCATTTTCACTGACAGCTTTGGGCTTCTGAGCACGAAGATTTTTCTATTGAAGAACTGCAGTTCTGAGAAGATGAAATCATTAATAATTCAATCCTCAGTTAAAGCAGAGAATTGATTGTGAGAGGCATGTCTGGAAGATCCCAGCAAGATGCATGTTTAAGGGAATGTGAAAAACTCTTAACAACCCCTGATGGGGTTAAATGGAGAAAGAAACTAATTTTTTTCCTCCTGCTCACATAATCTGTATAATTTTGAGAATGTGAGGAAGGCACATCAGTCAGACATCCTGTCTCCATCTGTGGGCACTGTCTGTTGAGCTTTAGGAATGGAAACACAAACAGATTTGGCCGTGGTGCAGCCATGAACATTCCTGGGCCACTCCAGCGGTCAGCAGGAGCGCTGAGGTGTGACATTCCGTTTGGGAATTGTCTTAGCACCGCGTTTCTTCTCTGGGAACGAGCTGAGGGCAGAGGTGATCCAGTCTGGTCAGATGTGCTGAAAGAGAGGGGCTAGACCCTGGAGGTTGGCACGGCTGCTGTCCTGTGCCACCTGAGCAGCAGCTGGGGAGGGCGGCAGGTGGGAGCATCCCCCCTCCCTGAGCACACACTGAAGGCTCTCACCTTCAGTTCCTCGGTGTCTGAGCCCACCCAGACTGACCCAGCTGTGACTCCACAGCGACCACGTCTGTGTTTTCACAACTCACTTCATTTACCAGGCACAGAGGGAAACAGTTCTGAAAGGTCCCCTGGCCCAAACAGCTCTTTGGGTGTCTCACAACGCTGGAAATCGAATGTTTCCAATTAAAACGTTACAGAGATAAAATGTAAACACTACAATCTGGTTTAGCTTTACCTGATTTTTGAGATTTGATTTGGCAGAGCAAACCAAAATAACTTTCTAGGCTGGCGTCAATATCATCGAGCTGACTTGCTGTACACAAAGCAGAAGTTCCTGCCAGTTTTATGGGGTAATAAAGAGAGGATTATTCCAAGAAAATATGCATCCCCCACGCTGTTGGAAGATCACTGAGCACTCTGCAGTGACCTTTTGTAACCACCTTCAGACAACCCACTCGGGTGTCTGCTCGTGGTGCAGCTGTACAGCGTGAAGCTCTCCTCACATGTGGGGGTAAAAGGGATAGCAAAAGGTTTGGGGTTTTTCATTCCTGAAAAATAAAACGAGCGTTTGAGAGCCAGGTGCTTTTCTCTCAGAGAGGTGCTGGTGACTGGGGGGGGAAAAGCCACGCACATTCAGATTTCTTGGAAAATGCTGGTGTTACACTATTAAAGCAAGGCAATAACCTCAGTGTCAGGCCACCACAATATTGTTACAGTAGGATGCCAAGCTTGCCTCTGCCTGGCTTTTGCCTGAACAGCTCTTGGAGTAAATCAGGCAGGGAGGAGTGTCTGTCCCTCTGTCCTGGGATGCTGCATGTGGCATCCTGGAAACCTCCAGGCTCATGTTTATATTCTTGCAGTGCTCGTCATCCCATTTTAGGGTGTTGGTGTACACAGAGCATGACTGGTGCACAGCAGAGCTGTGGGAATAACACCTGCCTGTGAAGCCGAGTTTGGGTGGGACAGGGACAGGGGTAACACCTGCCTGTGAAGCAGAGTTTGGGTGGGACAGGGGTAACACCTGCCTGTGAACCAGAGTTTGGGTGGGACAGGGACAGGGGTAACACCTGCCTGTGAAGCAGAGTTTGGGGTGGGATGTTCCCAGTCCCACGCCAAGGACAGTGGCTCCAGGGGGCTTTGCCCACCTGCTGCGTCTCTCCTGCCCCAGGGGCTGACACCAGCCCAGGGAAGAGGCTCGCCTGCTCCTGGTTGTTCCCGCAGCGCCTCACACCTGGGCATACCTGTGCCCGTGACCCCGTTATGCCCCCAAACCTCCCCGGCGGGGCTGAGGGCGCTGCCTTGCTCTGGTGGCAGCGCAGAGGGAACAACGCGCGGCGGCTCCGCTCCGGTCCGGTCCGCTCCGGTCCGGTCCGGTCCGGCACGGCACGGTCCCGGTGCGGGGGGGGCGCGCCAGGTGCGCTCCGCGAGGGGGCGCTGTCTCACCTGCCCCCGCCCTCAGGAGCCCCCGGCCCCGCTCCGCTGTGAGCCCCGGGACCCTCGGAGCCCCCCGGCCCCGCTCCGCTGTGAGCCCCGAGCCCCGGGACCCTCGGAGCCCCCCGGCCCCGCTCCGCTGTGAGCTCCGGGACCCCGGGATCCTCGAAGCCCCCCGGCCTCGCTCCGCTGTGAGCCCCGAATCTGCGGGCACCTGGAGCCCCGCACGGCCCGGCCGGCGGCGGGCACGGCTCAGGTAAGAACCCCGGCTCAGGCAGGAGCCCGGGCGGGATGAGTGGCGGGTGGGCCCATGGGGAGCCCCCCGGCCCATGGGAGCCCCCCGGCCCATCGGAGCCGCCCGGGCCCGGGGCACAGCGCAGGCGAGGGCTCTCCCTCACCTCTGCAGGGCCCGCCTGGCTCTGCTCTCCGTCTCCAGCCCCGTTCCGGCTCCCTCCGAGCGCTGCAGGCTTTTTTGGGTCCTTGTTCTGTGCAAAGCCGTGCGGAGTGTTGGTTCCGCTGTGAAGTGTTGGTTTCTGTGCGAAAACAGGCGCTCCGGGTTTCCCCTCCCCGAGAGGCTCGCTCGGCGCAAAGCCGCTCCCGGGAGCTGTGAGGGGGATTTGTGTGTCGTGGTCTGTGTCTTCTGACCTGTGGGGCTCAGGGGCAAGCTCAGACATCTATTTGCAAAGAATTTGTATTTTTATAATTCCTATGAAGAACACGCACTGCATTTGGCTCATAATTTCAGTTTATTATCAAAATGTTTTGATCAGATGACAAACTCGGCTAAAAGGACATAGGTTTTTAAATAGACCTATTGTAGCAGTCATCTGAGGTATCTGGTACTTGGTTTGGAAATGTCTTTGCTTTGATAAACAAAGCAGTAAGTTCCTTTGCAATCTGCATGAGGATGTTCAATACATATCATTGCAGATTTAAAGCCTTTTACCCTCTTACTTAAAGCTCCTTCAGACTCTTGCAATCAGCTGTGCAGCTTTCCTGATGTGAGGGCTGACACTGGTCAGAACACATACAAGTTATGTGCAGGATCAGAGCCTAAGCACTGACAGTCAGCCTGAAAACTCCAATGTTTGTGCCCTCCTTTGGAGAACTCAGTTTTGTAGGCTTTATCTTATTGTCCGATACCATGCTTTAGTCCAATTTCCCAGTTCTATGCAGCCACTGATAAAATATGTTACAATACTTCAAGTCAAAAGTGTAGCTCAAGATTTAAATATAAAAACTATGATTTATACATTACTAGAAACTTTAAAAAAGAGAAATTTTAGAGAAAGCAAGATAAAGCTTAGAAAATGGTGAAAGGGTCTTTGATCACAATCTTACAGATTATAGGTACAGAAATTAATAAATTACCTATGATTTCAGTTGGGCTGGAAAGCTGTAAATTAACTGTTGTAAATAGGGACTTCAGGTAATACACGCTGGAGTAATTAGTGAGAAGTTACTGAAGTACAGCAGGTCTTGGACTCCTCTTGTATAAATGGTTTCAAGTAAAATTGAAAACATTTGGTAGAACAGATTTCCCACAACAGCAGAGGGTACAGAGTCTGACACTGGGATGTAAACTGTCGTCTCTCTGTCGTGTTATGATGGCTAAAATGTGTCTTACTGATCAGAAATCTGCATTCGCCGACCCGGGGGAGATCGTGTGTTACACTCTGCCGTTTCGGAAGGAATCCCAAAAGCCACGGGCTGTGGGGCAGGGTCACAGCTGCAGTGAGGTGTGCCTGTGCACTGCCAGGGACGTGGGTCAGCCAGCCAGGCAGCCCCGCGCCGCCTTCCGTGGGCCATGATTTGGGGTTTGCGTGTTTACCGAGGATTACAGCCGTGTCTCCAGCATATTCCACTCAGCTTGCTTCCCTCCTCCCCTTCTCAAAATCAGCTGGGAAGGTCTCTTTTCCTGGAAAGCTCCTTGAGATGTGAGGTTTGCAGTCCGGTCACCAAACGCGGCACTTCTTGGCAGGGTCCATGTTGTCTCTCGTGGTGCATGAAAAGGCTTCTGAGAACTCTGGGGAGTTCTGCAGTGACCCCAGGACCCTTTAAAACAAAGCAACACGCTGTCATTGCTGCTCGCCTGGGTTTGAAACAAACAACACGAGCCACATTTTGTAACTTGTTTTGTTGTGTCACCTCGGTGTAGTGTGGGGAACGCCCTGTTGCTGAGCTCTGACTTGCTTCATTTCACCTCAAGGGCTGGCTGTTGTTTTCTTCTGCAGTTCATCTTGCCCCTGTTGCAACCCCAAAAATACAGGACCTGTCCCCTCCTCATGGCTGGCTCTCACAAGCCAGTTCTTTCCCCTAGAACAGATTTCTCACTTGTCAGTAGTTTTCACTGAGGGTTTTTTCAGCTACGTTTTGCTGACAAGTTTCTTGGTGAAGGGAAAACAAGACCCTGAGGTCAAGGGCTGTGGTGGTAACTCGTCGTGAATGTTCATTT